AAATCCACGAGAGTTTTGGAATGTATATCGGCCATTCCTGCACGAGGAAACAAAAGCATCCAAATGATATAACATTAAAGGAAGAAGGTGCGGTGATTACAAACAAGAAAGAGATTGCACAAATTTTTAATTTTGTTAACATTGCAAGAGGCGTCAGTTTGACATCAGTTTGACGTCAGTTTTTTATGCGTCTGACCTCTTATTGATGATAAATTGCGTCATAACATTGTCAAAGTGGCTGTGGAACCACGAGTCGTAGGCGAGTGGTTCCTCAGTAAACTTTGACAATGTTATGACGAAATTTATCATCAATAAGAGGACAGACGCATAAAAAACTGACGTCCGTATGTTGTTTACAATAGCAAGAACTCAAAATGGACAAATGTCGGGAATAAATTAGGAGAAAAGCCGCCGTAAACTTGCCGTAAACAAAGATAAGTGAGTCTTATTCAAACTGACGTGAACATTGTCGATAGCTTTTCTCGCTTTTTGACTGGCTACTTAAACAAGTCTATAAAATCTCATTGGTTAAAAAGTTGACATTTTGACAGCTGAAAGTTGAACATGAAAGCTTGCATAAATTAAGATTTTATCCGTCTGTACTCTTATTGATGATGAAAATGAGCCAATCAGCGCGCGAGAAATTAGACATTTATTTTAAAAAATATTCTTAATGGTTTTTTCAGTTTGACTTGGACTGCAGCCGACAAATATGGCTGCAAAAGCGTTCTTTTCCCTTCATTGTTGGTTGTACTGCTCGTCACATTTGCAATGGCGTTTGCAAAGATCTTCTGGATCGATCGTCGTTTTGTGTCGTTTCATCGTCGAAATTTTTGAGACTGGCTGTTTTCTTTCAATGTTCGTTTTAACCACTGAATTGGTTGGTCTGAGAAGCGAGCCTTGGAAGGAACTGTGGTTTTGTTTTACTTCACGGCAGCCCTAATGATTCTGGGACTTCAACCCATTTTGTTCGTAACTCGCGCACACTTATGATCTTATCATCAGCTCCGTGGATTTTTACTCTGGCATTTTGGATGTAAGTTAATGAAATCCTCCTTGAGCGCGTAAACCACTTTATTACCAGTAAACCAATAGTTATCCCTTTAATCCCCGCCAACATCAAAATACAAATTATATTAACCTTTGGAGTCCGTATATGTTTATTGCAGCGGCAGTGGAAAGAAGTTGCTAAAATGTCAAGAAATTTATTCTGGGTGATTATATCCTGAATTCTCATAAACGTTTCCAACGATGAACTTTTGTTATTGCACGGAGAAATTTTATACTGATTACTATTGGGGCTTAAAAGGTTAAAAGAGACTTCTCGTTCCGGGTTTAATTCTTCCCCGTACGACACTGGACCAGAAAATTCCATTCTGATGACGATGATCAACTGAGGCTCTGATTGATACGTTTTTATTTCACCATGCGGTCGAGGTAACCAGTGAACAAAAACAAGTCACTTCTAAAGTGCTCGTTCGTTCTTTACTCATTTATTGATAGCCTCGTTCCCAGGCTCTCTTCCCTCTGCCTTCCGTTGTAAGGCAGAGAAAAGGCAGCCTGGGAACGAAGTTGATTTATTGACAGCCCGCGGAAGACTAACCTGAATATTGTTGGAAGGTTTATTCCAGAATCTGTGGATGGTTACTCGTGAACGGACACAAAGAAGAAACCCGAGAAATCTTGACGAACGTAGCAAGAATCAACAGAAGAGACATGCCAAGCGACGAGCTTCAAGTCCCAGAGACCACAGCCAAAAAGGGTTTCTTGGATCTCTATAAAACATGGAAACTGGTCAAGCTGTCAATCATTCAGTTGTTTGTATGGTGACCGACAATTTCCTTGCAATTGCTGGTTTTCAGTGTCACGCCATTCAAAATAGATCAAAATAAAATCTAAATTACAATATACGTGTATCACTCCGTACCAGGTTTCTTGTCGTCCTTAGGAATGTTTTCTGTCAGCCATTTCATTAATTGATGTGCTTTCGGAATTTCCTTTATTTCTGATTGTTTGTAACCTTCATACAACATATCCAGCTAAAGGAAGAAAAATAAAAATATAGCCAAACTATAACATAATTCACTTTTCCGCACGAAGCAAAACAAATGACACCAAGTAATATTTTCAACCACCTAATGAATTAATAGTAATCTATAATGCTACAAGTATCCAACCCAGCTTGGATAGGCCGGGTTCGTGGAACCTTTCAAAAATATTGTCACATACATTACAACGCTTTGATTGCTTTCCAAAAGAAAACAACAGCTTTTGCAGGAGGGACACTGAACGGATCTCAGTATTTCACATTCGATTTTTTCCTATGGCCACTGCACGTGATCAACTTATCCCCACCCCAGAATTGGCTATATCCCGTAGGTTTTACTTGCTGTCCAGTTACATTTCGCTTGATTCCCGGAATTTCTTCTATGCTCTCGTCCCCCCTCCCCCACTGAAGGGCTATATGCGGCCCTTGAATCACAACCACCTACCCAACTTTCCTGGACAATTGACAGCTTTGGTCGTTGTGTGCCCCTCCTCTACTGTGTAGTTCAAGTATATGGTTGTTATTCAACAATCAAGTTCATAGGTAAATTGGTTCAATTTTGGCGTTCTTCACTCAAACAACTGCATATTAACAACTGTTATATAAACAATGAGTAGTTCATTGCCTTATTTAATTAGACCTGGCTTCTAACGAGCAAAACAAAACAGCATTTAGAGCAATAAAAACAGGATTACAAGGATGGAAGAGGTTTACTGCTCATCAAATGTGATGATATCAGGAATTCAAATTTAATTCTAATTTTTGTGAAATTTGGAATCCTAGTTTAGTCTTTTTTTTCCTTTTTTTCTTTGTTTTCATTACTTTTGGCTTTTTTATCTCATTCTACTGAAAGATGATAAAGTAAAAGGAAGCTTTAGCTTATAGCACGCTCCCTGCCATACTTTTTAAAACAAGATAAATCTACCGAGTCCCTGTCCACTTAACAAGCTGAACTTACATTTTGTGGAGTACGAAGTTACGGCATTTAATCCCGTGTTGTATACCTACCCTCTGATGAAAGAAGTTCTCTTTGTCACCGATGCCATCTAGGTCAAGCTTATCTGTGTCAACCGATTGAAGTTGCGCCAGTGTTCTAATTGCAGCTTCAAAGATTACCTTTCTCTGGTCCGGAGGAACACCAGGTAAATTTGCATCAGGGAACTGACGACCCTGCAAACAGAGTAATGGGGAAAGATAGCTCCTGGATGTCGTCCATCAGACAGATCAAAGAAAAACTGGTGTTTGTGCCAAATTTCGCTTCGATTCGCTCTAATTGAGCTACTATTATAAAACCTTACAACGGTTCTTTCTTCTTACTGGTCAGAAAGTGGAGATCGAGATTAACCCTTTTAATCAAATGAGACGAAGGTGGTTCCACATTAATCTTCAAAATAATTCACTCAATGGTAACTACTGGGAACAAATCTATCTAATGACAGGGTGGTGTACTCCAGAACGGATTACAAGGCCAGCAGCTGCCTTGAATACGCTAACTGCACCTGTAGTAAGAGCAGCAGTCAGACCTGTACGTCCTGGTGAAACGACACGGTGAACGTCGTTTTCTCCGTAGCTAACAAAAACAACAAAGACATTGCTGAAGTTGCTTTGACCTCTTCTAATGGTGAAGTTAAGAATTCCTGTTTTAATTTAACAAGGAAAAGCTATTATCCTATCTGGCTTAACTTGGCGAGTGAGTTGTCGCGAGATGTTTCAATATTTTGTTTTCTTTTTGCTAAAGACCGTCTCTTGTGGTTTTTCTCATTTTAAATCCCTTTTTGTAAATTTTGATACGTTCTCTAGTGGGAAAATTGGCACGAGTTCAAAACCTTTTTCGTTAACATACATGTGACGTCAGGATAGTACACTGTTTTCCGCCTTCTGAATGCTGATTGGCTAATTCAAATCTCAGAGGCGTCAGCTGTGTGCATGGAAAACAAGGGGTGACAAGGAAAACTTTCTAGGGAACCTTATACCTTGATATACTCCATGAGATAAAATTCTTGGCCCATGATTGTCTTGTCCTCACAGAAGAGATACATTTTAGGTACTGGAAAGGAAGTCTTTCCGAGGGCGGACATGATCTTGTACTCCACATCAACCTACCAAAATAATATCATTGATGAAATTTGAAACTCAGTGATTGCATTGAATATTGACTGATTCCACCTGAGGGCCAGATTTAAACAAAATTCATCAAATGCTTCAATTCCCAATCAATTTAATAATTAAAGGGTCAATTTTTGATTTTTTTTTAAAAAACTTACATCTCAAAACAGTTGATTTCTCTGAGACTTATACTCCAGTATTCGCGTATTCTGTGTTTATTTTCATGTTTTTACAGCTAGCTTGTTTCAGCCATCCAAAGCTGTTAACTGGCAGGCGAAAGCGAAAGCGTGATATAGCCAGAGAACCTCTTTGTTTTACAATGAAATTAATGCATTCAAGGTCAATAGGCAGTACCTTATGATAACCCACATGCACCTCCACTGGAGATTTGTGCCGTAACACAAATTCTTTTCCATTTTTCCGAAGCAGAAAGGTTGGATTTGAGGTTCCAGCTCTGTGAAGATTAATAAAATGTAAAGAATTGGTAAGAAAACGCACGCTTAAACCTATACTTCTATTAAACAATTAGATTATAAGCTCGAGATTTCTATCGCGTG